CTTAGCTTTGTTCAGAGAATTGCAGGAAACTGGTCTTAAACCAACTGATGTCACGATGCTTGTTGTGCTTTCGTCTTGTGCTTTGCTAGGATCATTGGACTTAGGGAGGTGGATACATGAGTATGTTAAGAAGAACGGGTTAGATCAATATGTAAAGGTAAATACTGCACTTATAGATATGTATGCTAAATGTGGGAGTTTGGATGATGCGGTTTCTGTATTTAGGGAGATGCCTAGGAGAGACACACAGGCGTGGTCAGCGATGATTGTTGCCTATGCAACACATGGGCATGGTTCCCAAGCCATATCTATGTTGGAAGAGATGAAGAAGGCAAAAGTGAAGCCTGATGAGATAACTTTTTTAGGTATATTGTATGCATGCATCCACAATGGATTGGTAGAGGAAGGTTTTGAGTACTTCCATAGTATGACTCATGAGTATGGAATTGTTCCTAGTATCAAGCATTATGGGTGTATGGTGGATTTGCTTGGTCGAGCTGGACGCTTGGATGCAGCCTATAAATTCATAGATGAATTACCAATTAAGCCAACTCCAATTCTGTGGCGGACATTGCTATCTGCTTGTAGCAGTCAGGGCAATGTTGAAATGGGAAAGCAAGTAACTCAGAGAATCTGATGATTATGTTATTTTGTTATTTTGTCAAACTTGTATGCAAGATCTGGAAGATGGGATGATGTGAATTACTTAAGGAAAATGATGATAGACAAAAGAGCAGTAAAAATTCCTGGTTGTAGCTGTCAGGCGGGTTCAGGGGGAAGCCTGTGGCGGGGGGCCATCACCAATGGGCTAAGGCTACACCAACTGTAGCAAGTGGATCCGACACCATGTCTCAACCCAAAACCTTAAGGCATTGGGTTCATGGATCCTTTCACTTATATACTCTTCACTTAGCTCATTACCAACCAATGTGAGACTCATCACACTTGAATATCTCAACAATCTCCCCCTCAAGTGTGAAACCCACCATTGGTATGCTCCCCCTCAACCGAGTACCTGAAGCGCAAAGTACTCGACCCGCCTCCTAGCCAATCACTAGGCTAGCTCGAGCTCAATCCGGCTCTGATACCAGAGTTGGGAAATTCGTTCCCTCAAACTCCAATGTCAAGCGGGTCCAGGGGAAGCCCGTGGCGGGGGCCACCACCAATAAGCTAAGGCTACACCAACTGTAGCAAGTGGATCCGACACCATGTCTCAACCCAAAACCTTAAGGCATTGGGTTCATGGGTCCTTTCACTTATATACTCTTCACTTAGCTCATTACCAACCAATGTAGGACTCATCACACTTGAATATCTCAACAGTAGCTCTATAGAGGTCAACAATGTTGTGCATGAATTCTTCTCTGGGAATGCAGTTCATTCCACTTCTACAGTATTGCACCGTGCACTTGATGAGTTGGTGAAGGAATTGAAGCTGGTTGGGTATGTAGCTGACACATCTCTAGTCTTTAATGCAGACATAGAAGATGAAGAGAAAGAAATTATTCTTAGATACAATAGTGAGAAATTGGCCATTACTTTTGGGCTTCTGAATACACCCCCTGTAACAACAATTCGTGTGGTCAAGAACCTTAAGAGTGTGTGGGGACTGTCATAATGCTGCTAAATTTATATCATTGATCTTTGGCAGGCAAGTTATTCTCAGAGATGTTCAGCGATTTCATCATTTCAAAGATGGGAAATGTTCCTGTGGGGATTACTGGTAGAGGAATTTGTTGAGCCGATATTTGATTTTCTTACAAGATTGAAAAAAAAGGTCTATTTATTGCCACATAATTAATTGCTATTATTTGTGTTTGAAATAGTCACTATATATGGAGCCCGGAAGAAGAAAGATTTGTTCCTGTAATCTTTGGAATGGATTATCGTCATGATTGTGAAATTCAGATAACTAGTAAATAGTTACATAGAACACGTTGTATATATTATTAGGCAAAATCACTTCTCATATTGTTGGAGGGGAAGAATTTTTGCAGCAACTCATTATAACTATATAAATATATATTAAGAATTGTACATAGTTATTATAATAATAAAATTATTTTTTCTCTTTTTGCTATGTCAACTGATAATGTGTGATTAGAGAGAATTTTTTATTATTATTATAATTATGTATTATCTTTAATACATAGTTATAATAAATTACAAAGTTTTTTGCTTCCAACAACAGGGGAAGTGAGCGACCCATATAAAGGTTCAGGTTCATTGTCATGTAATATAACTCTTTCCTATTGCTGCTGTTTTTTGACATAGAAGTTTGTTTATATAAATAAAAAGGGAAGGATTATACTTACTACCTCCTAAGTTTACTATTTTTACTACTAAATTAGCACCATTAGATTAACTTTTAATCTAATGGCTCATATTTACCCCTTATGATCCTAAACTTTCCCTCAATCACTCACCCCCTTTCTCTCTCTCTCTCTCTCTCTAGTTCACACGCTCATCTCTTTCTTAAAATTCCCTTTCTCCATCGTTCTTTCTCTCTGCACTCGAATAAATAACTAGAAGGAAGGCTAACAAAGTAACCATAAGTATCATAAATAAGAATAACGGATGGATCATAGCAAGCGTTAATGATAGTCATTACTATTCAGATAAATCTTCTTGAGCATTATGAAAGATAAAAGCATCCAGGAAAATCTTCAACATACCAAAATAACAAGAAACATATTTAGTCTGGATAATTGAAATACTTGATACTTAATACGGTTAACACAAACGACATGTTTAAGATCAGCAGACCTTATACAGATCTTTATATTTTAATGTCTTTTTCTGTATTTTTTCTTTTTAAAGTGGTGGAGTATGTGAAGAAGTACCTCTCTCTTCCTTCATCGTTCTTTCGCTTCCGGTTCCATTCGTTGTCACAACCATGAACGGCGACTGTGAGCAGCAAACACTGGCCGAAAACTCCTTTTCATCGCAATGCATGCCAGCGAGCATCACTCCCGAGATAAGTTTTGTTACTTATATGTTGTTGTGTCCAGTTTCTGTCTTTTAATTAAAGGCTTGGGTCTTATGCTCATTGAATTTGTTGCTAATTGATGGGGTTTATGCTCCTAATTTCCTACTAGGTTTACCTAAATTATAGTTTAGAATCATTATAAAAACAAAACTTGTTGATATTTTAAATTTGTCTTTTTAAAAAAATAATCAAATTATTATACATAAAAAACCCCAAAGTGAAAGAGAATAGAAAGCACTGATTGATGAGGTTTATGCTCCCAATTTCCCAATAGGGTTTACGTCGTGCTATTCTTATGACCCTTGTTTGCTACCATTTCTACTATTATACAGCATGCTTGTAATGTAATGTTAGGCTATTCATAATTTCATATAGTGTATTTGATTCATAGAAACAATGTTGTTATTTTTTTTTCTATGCAAGTGGTGCACCGTGCACATTTAAAGCTCCTAGTTGACCCATTAGTACCAAACGATTTCAAAGCAGCATTCACTTTGTGCTATTTTTTTATATATATCCCATAGATTTCGACTATATAATAGTCACTTGTTTATTTCAATGAAGGTCAATATGGAAGATGATCCAATTAATTATATTGACTTCAGTCACAATTGTGTGTCAAATGAAATGGAATATGATGGAGTAGGAAATGAGATACCTGATGACATGGAAGATGACATATCATATGACTTGCCTAACAATATGTCAATTGTCATTCCATTTTCACTTACAAAGAATACTAATATTTCCATTGAGGTAGGAGTGAAATTTTCCGAATGGAAGGATATAGTAAACTTATATACAGCATTTGGTAGGATAAGAGGATTTGGAATCCGGAGACGAACATCCAGGGAGGACTACGTGAAGCTAACATGTATTAGAGAAGGTTATCCACAAACTAAATTGGAAGAAAATGTGGGTAAGTTGTGTCAGGGCAAGTCAAGGAGAACATCATCGTCACGTATAGGATGTCAAGCTTGTGTCAAGGCTTCTAGGAATAAAAAAACGAACATATGGAGAATTACACATTTCATTGACAGCCATAATCATGAGATGGTTACTTCGAAAAGTGTTGCATATCTGAGATCACACAGAAAAATGCTCGATGCTGCAAAATGATTGCTAGAAAAATTCAACAACTCGGGTTTGCCAACTGGAAAGGTGGCCACCATCTTCAAAAGCCATGATCTGGGGTTTGACAGTCGAGATTGTTATAATCATATGAAAAATGTGAGGAGAAGGATATATGATGCTGGGGATGCACAAGCGGTGCTACACTATTGTATTAAACAACAATCATTGAATCCAGATTGTTTTTATTCCATCAAGTGCGATGATGATGATCGAATGGTAAGCTTTTTTTGGATTGATGCAAGATCCAGACATGCCTATGAGCTTTTTGGTGACGTGATAACGTTTGACACGACATATAGGACTAACAAGTATTCCATGCCATTTGGACCCTTTGTCGGTGTAAATAATCATATGCAGTCGATCTTGCTTGGATGTGCTTTATTACAAGATGAAACTGAGGATACCTTTGTATGGCTATTCGAGGAATGGCTACGAGCAATGAATGAGAAACATCCAGTTGCCATAATTACTGATCAGGTATGATCAATTTGAAGAAATTTTTATCAATGTTTTATATATCATCTCAAATGTGATGGTTTATTACTGACTGTATACTTACTAGTGCCACTGAATATATAGGACATGGCAATTAGCAATGCAGTCGCCAAAGTTTTCCCAAACACGAAGCATCGATTTTGTTTATGGCACATCATGAAAAAGTTTCCTGAGAAGTTATCTCATGTTTACCATGAGCATGCATCATTTAAGAAGCATCTGAATGAGTGTATATGGAGCTCCAAGTGTGCTCAAGAGTTTGAAGAAAGATGGCAACATCTTCTTGTTCAGTATAGTCTTCACGAAAATGTGGCTGCATGTACTCTACTCAATTAGATCGTCATGGGTACCAATCTTCAACAGATCCACTTTTTTTGCTGGTATGAACACTACTCAGCGCAGTGAAAGTATAAATTCATTCTTTGATGGTTTTGTTACATCTGGCACAACTTTGATGAAATTTGTGGAGAAATATAACCAAGCATTAGATGCTCGGTACGAGTCATTCAAAAAAGAATACTTTGAATCTAAGCACAAAGAAAGGCTTCTGACATTTAATATGGCATTAGAGGAGCATGCAGCTAAAGTGTATACCCGTGCAATTTTTTTAAAGTTCGGCGAAGAGCTTTCTCTTAGTTTACAATTATCTAAGGAGAAACTTGGAAATGACATTGGGTGGGTTACCTACCACGTTTTTAATAAGAAGGACAACAGAGATTCTGCAATAGTTGAGATAAAATTGGAAAACAGAGAAGCTAGGTGTTCTTGCCTTTATTTTGAGTCCATGGGAATCTTATGCCGACATGTTCTTTCTATTTTTTTGATTGAAAATGTCGAGCAGATCCCTGAACACTTCATCTTGCGTCGTTGGCGAAAAGAAGGAAATGATATACGAAGCATAGACAATGACAATTGTACAACTGATGGAGATAGACTTCTTCGTAGCTTTCACCTACGCTCTAGATATTCCAGACTAGATGAGCTTGCATATGCATCGAGTGAAGCATTTAGATTCATTTGTGATGGTATTGATTCTCTCTCTCTAGCTGCAGAAAAGTTTGTGACATCCGAGGAGACTACTGGTCTTAGCGATTCTAATTTACAATACTTGAGTCATAATTCAGAAGAGTCTTGTATGAGAAACTTGAAGGATCCCTACATTTCTCAAACAAAAGGGCGAAAAAAGCACTCTCAAAATACTTCACAGGGACGCAGGATTCGTAGTGGGATTGAAGAAGCATCAAAACATACTAATATATGTGGAAATTGTAGAAAACGAGGACATAATAAGTGCACATGCAAAGACATAAATCTAAATTCAGTATAGTTTCAATGATATTTTTTATTACAACAAATGATGATATTTGGGCTGAATACATTAAGGTATGTTGCTTCATCTTATGCTCTGTTGTTATTAATTAAATATCAAAAAATGATACTTTCTATTACAAATTTTTAATTACCGAAATTGCCAAAGATGATACTTGCTTGTAAATGCCAGGTTACTTCTCCTATGCAGATGGGGTGTAGTGTGAAAAAAACTTGCCTCTTTTTTTCCCAATGTTATCCATTTAGTATTGTTAGATAATATCTATATAGCTATGTAATAGAATAATTTTTTTCATGTAGAATTTACAATATTCGTGTGTGTTTGCAGGAAGATTTAACTTTGAGCTTGTTGGCTAAGTGCCAGCAATCAATTTATGTCATCAAGAGGATTGTGGAAAGCACCGCAAAGATGAAGTGACACTTTTTGAGACTTTATATCTTATTGCTTAGCTGCAACATGTAGTTTCAAATATGAGGAGTTGGAAGCTTCTCAAATGTGAATGAAAGGGTATTATTTTCTTTGATTTTTTTCTTCTTTTCCCCTACAAAAAATAAAACCCAGTTTGTTCACTCAAAATTATATAACTTACCATACCTTTTTTTTTTAAAAAGAATATGACATTCTTGCAAAGGAAAATTTTGCAGTTTGAAGTTAGATAACCTTTGAGGCAATCAGTGCGGTCCATTTGTGACTTTGATAGCAATATGATTGTAAAACTGGAATCTTTCTTTATCAAATTTGTCCCCACTCTTTTTAATATTTCATCCAACATTAGGCCTTATAATGAAATCATTCCACTACTTGAAGTTACCGATTTTTTGCTTTTATCTCAAATTTAAATTTCCAATTTTTAGCACAATATTGCTTAATGTTAATGGTTAGTCATGCCAGCATGCTTAGTTCAAAAAAGACGGGTATACATAAATAAAAAACAATCCAACTTGGGGAAAAAAAATCCTCTTGCATTAGAAGTTACTCATGAGTAAACAATTTCTTATATACATGCAAATCAAATGCCAATATAATCTATAAACATGAGTAAACAATTTCTTACATACTCTCAGCTTCTCCAAGCACTCAAGAAACTCTAATCTTGCCCAGGTTGATCGGAATGTGACATATTTCCCGTTCTAGTAGTATTAACCTTAATCCTGGATATAGATCTACATAGAGATGTTTGTCGCCTCTCCAAAGATTCAATAAGAAGAGCCTCATGTTTCCTTTTATCATCCAAAACTAACAACAAGGCCTGCACACAGGTTAACCATATGCAAATGATTATTAGTAATAATTTAAATAGTAATGCATGCAACTGAACTGACAAGCTAGACCAATAAACATATACATTTAGTTGTTCAATTTTCCATGATTCTGTAAGTAACTAAAGTATGTAAAGTACTAAAACATAAATCTCAATTTTCGAATAGAGCTACACATAATAAACGTTAGAACACGACCTCTTCAGTATCAAGCTTTCTGGATGCTTGATAACA